TGAATGACAGTGTAGCATCTGTTACTGTTTGGATCATTATAACTGGATTTCCATCAACTCTAAATTACTCTCATGCTAATTCTCTAGTCCTTTCTTTTCTGGTGAGTTCTTCCTCTCTCATTTCACTGCTTGTTGAAGCTGAGGGAGTGGAAGGAGCTCCAGTTCTCCTCTGTGGGGGCTGCTGGTGGTGGGGAAGCTCGCTCCGTGGGGATCAAGAGCTGGCCAGAATCCAGTGCTTCCAGGAAAGCTTTCCAGGGTGGCCGCCTCTGTGTATCCTCCCTGGTGCCTGAAGCTGAGCTCCTGCCTCTCTACCTGCCATGAGTAAAGGCTCAGTTTATGCCAACTAAACCTGGGAGATACTTCACACAATTTTTGTGGCTTCCTAGCTCACGGATCTCTTAAGGGATGCATTTTTACTATTACAACGAAGAGACAATTCTGATTTTGCTTTTCTAGCTTGAAGAATCTCCCTCATGACTTTCTTATTCAGTGGCTGAGTGGCTGTTTGAGCTGCATGTTTATTTTACTGTTATGGATTTCAAATAAACTGGGACACATGGCAATTGGAACATGACATCCCTCTGTATGATGGATATGCAGGAGTGCTTTTTTTAAAATTCTATTATGTCTATATCCATAAGAGGAGAAACAGTTTTATTGTAGCTGTCTGCCAGAAAAATTAGACATATTGCTAATGGGAAGAACGAATGATAACAACCTTCTTTTTGATACAGATAGTGAGAAAATTGCATTAGCTGTGGTCCCAGAAGATTGAGAACTATTTTGTCTTGCAAATGGCACAAAAAACTGCAAATCAAAGTTGAGTAGCTAGTTGTTGTTTCTGACTTGATTTTTGGGCTCATAAATTGGAAAATTACTTACATTTAAAGTGTGTGTGTGCAGCACCCAAAAGTAGAGAGAGAACAAAGGGGAATGCCCTGTCACAAAGGCAGGGTGGTATGGCCGTAGGAGGTGGGAGGGATACTGGGATCAGTGGTGGTGGAGGATGGGCACTAGTGGAGGGATGGGTACTCGATCATTGTATAATTGAAACCCAAGCACAAAAATTTGTAAGTCTACAACTGTACCTCATGGTGTTTCACTAATAAAAAAATAAATTTAAAAAATAGAATGACATTTTAATGTAAGAAAAAAGAAAAAAAATAAAATGTGTGTGTGTGTGTGTGTCTGTGTGTGTGTGTGTGTGTGTGTCTGTGTGTGTGTGTGTGTGTGTGTGTGACTTAATATCACTATCTGGAAGTGTCTGGTGCTTGAGATTCTGAGATCCATTCTGTTTGCGCAGAAATTTTGGGGGGATAGGGGTAAGGTATACCCAGAAATGTTCAGGGGTTACTCCTGGTTCTGCACTCAGGAATTACTCCAGGCGGTGCTGGGGGGACCATATGGGATGCTGGTGATCAAACCGGGGTCAGTCATGTGTCAGGCAAGTACCTTACCCACCGGACTCTCCGGCCTCACGTTTGAGCATTCTGAATACAGACTTATATTAATACAAATTTGTGACATCCAGATGCAAACTTCTACACTGCCCTTAAACATAGTTCCAGCTTACATAGATGGCTAAAGCTCAAAGCGAATTGACACACCAAACCCTAATTATGCATGTAGTTGACCAACTGATTCTATACCCATTATGTGTCCCTGACTCCTGGGATCAATTACTGGCTCCCTCCCGCCTGAGCAAGGCAGAGGGGATGGGGAGGAGGAAGGGAGATGCTGAGGGCCAGGAGGAGGCTGGGAGGGCTCCAGCTTGGCTGCAGCAGTGGGCAAGAGGAGAAAAACACTGTCCTCGTCCTCTGGGGCCCTCCTTAAAAACTTTTCCAAATCTGATTCTCTTGGAGCATTTTCAGGAAATGATACAAACAAGCTGAAACTGGGGATTTGCCTCTCAACCCCCAAAAGCTGTACCCTAATTAGTTTGTGGCAGTCCAGGGAACGACTGAGGACCACAATGCAGGTTGGCGATTTCTCCTAGAGGTCCAAAGTGGGGTTGGGGATTCCAGGACCATGTCTGCCTTCTGGGTGGGTGAGGGGGAGGGGAACGGAGTGGGGAGTCATCTCTGTGGGACGCTTCACTCTCCCACGTGCTCCCTGGGGACAGAACATCTCACTGGATCTTGAGATGCCTCCTGCGACAGTAGAATGTTCTCACAGATAAGGCAGCTGGGTCTTGGTGGCATCTAACTCCTTCACTTTCTGACTGTGAGTGGCACTAGGGATGGTGGTGTAAATTTTCTCAGCTGCAGGTAGCAATCAGAGCAGAGGGGGTGCCCCCCAACCCACCCCCTTTTGTAGGCATGTTGAACAGTGGAGCTTGAAAACAGGATTCAAGAAAAGTCCTTGAAATGATGCTGTCCTCCAGGACAAGCCTTCCAGGTTTGTCCTTGGCACATATTTCTTTCACTAAAAGCCTAAATAATTTTCATTTGTCATTTTTAGCACTTCAAGAACATTCCAAGGCATTATTTTTACTGATGAGTTTCTTGTTTTTCCTTTAAAGCTGATTTAATGAATGTAAGGAACTGTGGGGTCTGGGCCCAGAGTTAGGTAGAGGACAGGATCTATTTTTTTCCTCCTGAATAAAGCATCTTTTTATACAGGAAATGATTTTAGAGCAAACAAGTTTTCAGGGGGTCACTATTATTCTTTGCCTATGATAATTTATGAAAACAAAATGTTTCTCTGAATCTGATTGCTTAGAAACGTAGGTCTTAGTCACGCCATTGGCTTTAGTTCGGGTTGCAAAGCACGGGTTACCCCAGTGCTTCCCCAACTGGACAACAGTGCTGGGGTAGCTCAGGGGCTTTACATGCCTCAGGGAGAACTGGTGGTGTGAGGGATGAGAGTGGGGATAGCTCTCTGCTGTTCCTATAGAAAAGATTTCTGAGAGGGGTGGGGAGTCAAGAGGTTTTTTTTTTTTTTTCTGAAGAGTGTAATAATCCATAAACATTTGGGGACCTCTGGTTTATTCTGTCCATTTAAAATTCCCATGTGATGACACTTCCCATAACCATGCTGCTGGATCCCGTGCCAGGCTGTTTCATTTGGGGCACCCCTGAGGGGGGCAGGTGAGGGTCCTCCCCACCCCAAGGGACCCAGCCCCGGCCGGCAGCAGAAAACCTCCAGAATCCAACCACCACCAGGCTCATGGCTGCTCTCCACACACTCAGGCCTAGCCTCACATACGAGTGAACCTATTCCTAAACTGCACAGCCACGAATACCTTATAACCACCTGTACTCCAAGAGTACTGTACCACATCTGATGGGGTTTAAAGTAGGAGGCAACCAATTTTAGAGGGAAATATATATATATATATATATATATATATATATATATAAGCACACAACGCTCAACTTTTATCAACATGTTAGTGATCTCTTATAGAAGGGCTTAATGGCCCCTGGGTGAAATACATCAATCTTCACACTTTTTGGGAACATTTTCAGCGGTTTTTCATAACAAACAATACAAAATATACTATTTCGGTTCTGCTTTGGGGCAGGGATTGGGGTTTGGGATGAAAACATCCAAAATACGGTGGTGGGAAGGAGTAATGGTGGTGAGATTAGTGTTTGAATATTAAAAGTAATCAAATATTGTACACTACTTTATAATATTAAAAATTAAAAAGAAAAAGAAATTCCCATGTGAGATTGCTCTTCATGCCTGTGTGGGGTTCACATCTCACTCCTTGTATCCATGTATCTTTGCTTGCTTTTCCTCTCTGGAGAAGCTTGTGTTCTCTCTCTCTCCCCTCACATCTTTCTAAATAAGTTTCATTTAATAGAAACTACCTTGCTTCACTGAAAAGAAAAAAAAAACCCAAAAACCGACACAACTAAAACAAATACATAAAAATTTCCACCTGAACTCTAGTTCATTCAAAATTGAGCCCCAGTGGCTCTGGCATGGCAGCTCTGAGTCCTGTGTTAGCACGGGGCCATGTTCACCTACCCCCCTGCCCTGCCAATTCTGCTGCCCCCACGCGAGGGGTTGGGGTCAGCCGAGTGCCCTGACAAAGCCCTTGCTGCCTCACCCACATGCCAAGCTGTGGCCACGCCACACCACCAAGCGGATTCCATGGCTTCACTAAGCATCTCTGCACAGACGCCAAGTGCTGTAAACGCCAGGGACGCTGAGAACTCTGGGATTCCTCAGAGCGGGGGCGAAGCCTCCTCTACACTCCCCTTTCACCATCACGTTGAGTCACCCCTGGCCCTGCTTCTCAGAACCCAGATGGACAAAATCTCAGCGAGATGCAAGCTAAGCAGCGGAAAGTTACGACATACTGGTCTCCCCTGGCTGGAAACTACAGGGTCCCCTCGGAATCTCTGCCCTGCCCAAGTTGCAGGAGCCACACCTGTGCCCCACTGCTGCCTCTGTGCCAGCGACTTCACTAAGGATCTCCATAGATTCGTTCCCGTTCTACAGACCCTGGAGTTTCTGGGCACCCCCAAATTCCACAGTGCTGAAATGCCAGCAGCAGGAGCACACCCAATTAGATGGGAAAGCGACAGAGAAGCCGACTCAACGCACAAACAAAAACAACAATGCAGAATGCGCAATGAAGCGACAGGCGGCTCCGGAAATTCTCAGACTTTGCCAACAACCCTCTGCTGAGATCTAACAAATTGCACATATTTTCTTTTACTAAAGTATTTCTGAGAATCTTTCAGCCATTTTGTTGTAAGAAGCATATCAAATACATGATGTGTGCCTGCTGAGGGGGTAAGGTTGGGGGTGACAGTGATGGGGGGAGTCCCTCAGGTGTGGGATTAGCATTGGAACATCAAAAGCCTATAACATCTGTACTATGAACAACTCTGTAAACCACAGTGTTTAAATAAAGTAAAATAAATAAATAAAACCCAGAAAGCGGCTGTAAGAGTCTGTTGCGAGAGGCTCATGAACTGTGAACCTGTGGAGATTTCATTTTACCTGGCACCTCACCCCAGAAACACAGCGTGCATACTTACATGTCATCGAAGACGAGTTTCTGCCTCTTGCAGTCCCTGTGGCCATTGGGGCCTGGAGACCAGGGCTCTGCTTGCAGCCGTGACTTGTGAAGAATGTTCTCAGAAGTGCTGTGAGCAGCTTTCTAAACAACACAACACACCAGTCAGCGGAGTTAGCACCTGGCCATAGTGACCATTCACCAGAACAGCTTCTGCCCTGTGTTCCGCATGGGAGTCAGGGGGCCTGGGTGAGGGGAGAGGAAGGCTTGCACACCAAGCCTCAAGGGAGGGATTGTGCATGTTCTAAACATTCTTCTCAAATCGATGGCCTTCAGAGGGAATTTTTACCCCATCCTAAGCTCTTAGGTACAGAAACAGAGGAAATGGATGGGAACCCAGCTAGCATGGCCCAGCCAAGCTCATCTCCGGACCAGACCCAGTCCGCTGACAAGAGTGGTTCTCCACGCTCACTACACTTATGAGACATCCAAGCACAAAAGTGAGCTCCAGTTCGGAGTTTATGATTCAGTAGGTCTGACTTGGTCTTGGAAATGCATTTACAAAAACTTTTAGGTGAAGGTGAGTCAGAAGACCAGCATTCAGAACCCCTGAGCTATAATCATCCTGTAACTTATATCCTTTACACTCAGATCACAGAAGTACTGATTGTTACTAACTGTGAAAACTGGAAAAAATCAAAGGAAGTTGGTAGAAAAAATTTTAGATGTGCTTCATGTAGGATGACTATTAACTGGTAGTTAATTTCATTAAGAAATCCCATTTCCTGGGGGTACAAATACTTATAGAACACCCACTGTGTGCTAAAGATGACGACCACAGAATGAGTCTAAATTGAGGGCATACAAGGCCTCTTTAAACACGAACTCACTTTGGGGTGGGGGTGCAATGGTACTGCAGCAGTTAAGATGCTTGCTTGGCATGTGCTTGACCAGGGGTCAATCCTCAAGCAGAGCCAGGAGTGATGCCTGATCACAAAGCTAGGAGTAAGGCTTGAGCACCAATGGGGTGCTCCCTATACCAAATCAAACAAAAAATGAATATGGACCAGTTTCTATGTGCATACTCTTGTTATAAGAGAACTCAGTAGAGGCAATTTGGAAATAACAATGTATCTATAAGAAGATGTATGTTGTATATAGTATAATTCATATGGTATAACATATAGCATATATAATTTATTATATATTATATATTAACATAATATATTATATATGATAATATATAGTATAAAATATAGGATAGTATAATGTACATAATCCACAACTACCAGCTGTTGGAGGTGGCGGCAGAGAGGAATCTGCAGTGTTAGTGACATTATTTTGCATGGGTGCTAAGATAAGGACGCTAGATGATACTGTCCCATTTAAGTCTTAGCACAGAGGTTGGAGCAGGTGCAGACTTAGGCCACAGGCCTCGCTGAGGTCTCATGGTGGTTAGGATTTGAGGCGAGAGGAGCTGGACCCGCCTCTCAGCCCTTTCTGAGGATGCTGGCACATCCTGAGAGGGTCATGGAAGTGGGGAGGGTAACCCAGTGTGACTGGCCGGCTGCTCCCTGGGCAGAGCTGACAGGGTGCGCTACTCTGCCAGAACAGCACCAAGGGCTCCAGGCGGGCTTGGGAGCATGTGAGCGCTGTGCTGCTCAGAGCAATTTCTTTTTTCTTTCTTCGAGTAACTCCCTGCAGTGCTCAGAGGACCATGCGGTACCAAGGACTGGATTTGGGGGCGAACGAGTGAAGCACATACACGGACCCTCTGAGCAGCTCACTGCCCATCAGCCCCACTGTCTACCGTGACTGGGAAACAAGGCATGGACACACCGTGAGGTCTCCACTGTGAGGCTGTAGCTGGCTCTCGGCCTTGTGCTTCTTGGTGGTGGTGGCAGCAGGGAAGAGCCCTGTGCCATTGGGTCTGCAGGAGGAAGTCAGGTCCTCGCTGGGGTATTTGTGTTTGGAGGCATCAGACAGGGGCGAGATGGGTGAGCGCAGCATCTTGTCATTTTTGTTTATTGGTATTGCCAGGCTGAAACAGGAAACACAGTAACGGAATGTCGCATGTTCAGACAGGTAAAGGTAAATGTTTTATATCCGACCCAAACTTTCCACTCAAAGCCTGTTGGTTTTAAGCCATTTGTTGGAAATTATTATATCAGGAAAATTTTTTTTCTGACATTAGGACCATAGCAAACACCATCAAACTTGTCACTGTTCCTAGACTTTGCCTTTCAAGAGGAATAGTAATTTAGGAGTTAATGTTGAATTAAATGACTAAGACTAACATATGTTCACTTCCAAAGTTTTTCACGCAGGGCATCCCAAAATATAACAACAAGTGAATTACGTTTTTCTCATAAGCCAAGGCAGAAAGTAATGGGAATCAATCATATGAAATACAGCACTCCTGGGCACGTTGTTATGTACAGGTTAACAGGATCAGCTGCAGATCATGAACTTCAACTTTTAATCATTATGTTTCTTACTCATTACTGACCCAAATACACATTGAATAACAAACTTGTCATTTGGAAGTTATATTTTTTGATTATCAGGTTCCTTATTTTATCTCCAAGACAACTGTGTATGCCTGAATACAGTCATCACAGAAGGAATCACTCATACTTGAGTCTTCACAATGTACGTTATATTGTCAGGGCTTTCTGCAACGATATTCTCTGGAAAAAAATTAGGGTAAGACACATTAACTTGGAATAAACTCAAGCACTGCTAATTCTGGATGCTGAGATCAACTAATAATTAAAAATCCACTTAATAAATGCTTTATTATTCCTGCGGCCATGACTTGTATTGACTATCACTGAACACAGCCATTAAAATCACTTAAAAATGTCCTTTTTGTCACAGTGTAGACATATTAAACACTGACCCCTGGAAAGATCAGAAAGTTACAGTTCTTTTCTTAAAAAATGTAGTTCAGGTACCAGGGCTGCCACAGTGTGAATGTGTATGTTTTCTTGTCCAGAACTACTTCACCACTACCAAAGTGCCCAGGACCCCCCGCCACTGAGCTCGTGGTTCTGCTAGCCCACCTTTTCCTCCTCCCTCCCTCCAGCCTCCTTGTCACAATCTCAGTTCTGCAATCAAATGCTTGTAGTCATTTGACACCATCTGTTCCCTTCTTTTGTATCTCTATCATAAGGAAGGTACAGGATAGAAACTTCTAGTTCCTGGCTCCAAAGGCCTAGTGTGTCACTGAGAACATGAGATCTAAGCTGCCACCACTGGTGCTTTGTAATGTGTCTGTCAAGGGGACAGGAAGGGGTGGGGAGGAGATCTGGGAACTCCGGTGGGTGACACCGACACTGGTGAGATTGGTGTTGAAATAGTCTATGCCTAAAACTCAACTACCAATAACTTTGTACATCATGGTTCTTTAATTCAATCAAAAATTATTTTAAAAAAGTGAAGAGTAACAGCTTGGAAGTAAGAATATGTATTCTGGAAATGGCCTTGGGTAAATTCAAAGCGGCTCATGTCATGAAGATGAGATGACATTACAAGGTATTGTAGATACCCGTGTGAATGATCTAAACAGAACTGGCTGAAATTTAGCAAAAAGCTATTTTATATGCCAGGTGATTGGTAATTAAAAAAGTTGTATTTTATACAAAGTAGTCTCAGCTGTGCTTGATGCTGACCTGTGTGTGGTCCAGTACTTAGCCATGAGCAAATCCCAGGTCTGCTGGCGCTCAGGGGGCCATCTGTGTGTATCTGGTGGCAACGGGGTATGTGGGAGGGGAGGCAAGGCGAAGGCAGGGCTGTGCCTGGGAGGCGGATGCTCTGCCCATTCAGCCATTTCCCTGGATTTCTAGGTGATTTTGGGGGGGGGGTGTTTGTTTTTGGGTCACATTGGCAGGGCCAGTGTTTACCCCTGGTTCTGTGTGTGGGAATATATCCTGGTGGTGCTGGAGAAGGGGTATGGAGGAAGGACCATATGTGACCAGAGTCAGCCTGGGTTGACTACCTGTAAGGCAAGCACTGTGACCCCAGTGCAATCTCTCTGGCCCCTCTAAAGGATTTTACAGACATGGAGTGATTGCACTCAGTTGTGGGACATAAAAAAAAACCCCACAGTGTGAGACTAATATCCAAGAATAGTAGAAACAAGGGCTGGGAGGACTGGTCCCTGATCCACAGCTGGAAGCTTGCCACAAGTTGCAGGGGTGGAGGGCCGGGGGGAGGTAGAGGGAATTTAGGACAGAGAAGGGAACTTTATGGCAATGATTACTGGAGATGATAATTCCGGGCAAGAACTAAGTCCTGAAGGAGGTAAAGGGACATGTTAGATAACCTTTCAGTACCTGTACTGCAAGCCATAATGCCCAAAAGAAGGGGGGGGGAAGGAGAAGGGGGGGAGGGGGAGAGAAAAAAGAAGATGGGAAGAGAGAGAGGGAGATGGAAAGAGAGGGGGCGAAGGGGAGAGAGTGCCTTACAGGCAGTCTTTTGGGGGTGGGAAGTGTGAGAGGGAAACTGGGGACACTGGTGGTGGGAAATGTACACTGGCGAAGGGGCAGGTATTGGAACATTGAATAACAAACCCAATTATGAGCAACCCTGTAACGGTGTGTCTTCTGGTGAAAAGATAAAGGATTTTTAAAGGTTCGTGCAGTGTTGCCCAAAGTGGTAGGGTCAGTCGCTAGGGCTGCTGGGGTAGGCAGTAGCCTTGGCTGCAGTTGGGAGGTGTGTTCTGTTGGTTTCACTAAAGAAGATTTTTGTTTTGTTTTGTTTCGTTTTGGAGCCACACCCAGTGATGCTCAGGGCTTACACCTGGTTCTGTGCTCAGGGATCACTCTTGGCAGTACTTGGGGGATCGCATAGGAGGCCAGGGATTGAACACGGGTTGGCTACGTACAAGGCAAATGCTCTACCCACTGAACTGTCTCTCTAGCCCTCTAAAGAAGATTTAAAGCAGAGATGCTTAGTGATTTTTTTCCTTCAACAGTGGGGGTGGTCAAATACATTTGGGAACCTCTGTTTATGAAAAACTAAGCTATTACCTAAAATACTGTGATGGCTATTTGGTTATTTCTTCTTCAGCATTCTAAGTTTATAACTTAAAGTTGAGCAAAGGGACTGTCTTAGGGTCAGTCTGAGATGGGCATCACCCTGTACCTTCTACACTGATGACCTGACAGCAGTAATCACCGTTCTGGGGGCGATGAGCCCGCAATTCCAAGAAAGCCAGCTGAAGCACCCACGTGGCATTACTGAACAAAAACACTCGGAGCTGAACGGCTCTGTCAGATAAAGACTAGCAGAAAGGTTTCTATCCTGAGGCCTATGCGTTTGCAAGGAAAACATCACATCTTTACTTGCATTAACATCTTAGTGAAACAGAGCAGTTCCTGCACACGAGGTGAGAAGTGGGGCAGTGGCACTGGCTCTGGAAGGACTAGCAATGATGTCATCATTAAAAATCACTGGACTTTTATTTGTATGATTTTTGTTTTTTGGGAAGCACTTGGTGGTGCTCAGGGATTATTCCTGGTGAAGCTCAGGGGACCATTCAGGATGCTGGGGGCTGAACCCAGGTTGGCCTCATGCATGGCAAGTGTCTTCCCTTTGTTCTGTCTCTCCGGCTCTGGTGATTTTATGTCACATGACTGCTGTTGCAGACACATTTGTCACTCCTTAGAAACTATCGCGGTTGCCAGATCTGCTGGAAGGTTTCTTGAAGGTCTGATCAAGCATCTCTACCAGACATTTAAGAACCATCTGAACCCTGGGGTCCCGCTGACCTGCCCGACCGTGTGGGAATGCCATTCACCATGCAGAGCCTGTGGACTGTGGCACTCTCCCTCCACACAGGCCTCTGGCTGCCCTTGTGGTCCCCTCCTCAAGGTGACTGTGAAATACACAGGGAGCTGTGCATGTGCTCTCATGCTTTGAGTTTTAGTACAGCTTTACATCTTTTCCTAACCTTTCAGTTTGCATTTTTATGTGCTGTGCTGAAACATTAATCTGCCCTTAAAAATCGTACCTATAAGAGAGGAGTGTTTGCAGCAGGAAAGTGGTTTCTGAGCAGAGGAAAAGTGGTATTTCTAAAAGGAAAGTACGTCGATGACTGATGATGAGCTTCTCCCTTCTAATAAATATCCAGAACCTTGCCTTGCCCTGAGAGCCATTTGTCACAGATGGATGCAGTGAACGTGGGTGCAGCTGGAAGCCTGTTAGAGGAGTGGCTGAGTGGCCGTTTAACCTTGCACACCCACATTCTGTGGAACAGCACACGTTTGAGAGTTTTTAAATAGGATCCCACTCTTTTACATTTTTTCATTTGGGGAATACATTTAATGTTTCCCATGGATTTATTGGCTATTATAGTAATGTTTAGAGAGTCCAACTCTTAAGTTTTCAGAGGAAAAGGTCTATCATTGACAGTGTTCACCAGTGCAGAATTACAAAATGGTCTTCGATTGCAAAGAAGTACCACTGACCTTTGAACACCTTGGAGGAACAGGGGGCTGACACAGAGCTGGGATATACTTGCAGGTTCTACTTGGAGAATTGACATGGTACATCCATGAATGTGGAAACCAAAGCCAGGGAAAAACCCACATACAATTGAATCCACACGGCTAGACCCAGGTTGTCCAGCAGTATTTACATGCCACCCGGTGTGGGGCAAGGGCCTAGCGGACTTGCCTTAGGTTGGAAAACAGAAAGCAGTATGTGGGTCCTGGTTGGGGCGGGGAGGCAGCCCAGGATCGGGGTGCATGCAAGGCCTGCTCTGATCCCGTGATGCCAGTGTGACCCTGGAGGGTTTCAACACCCCAGAGGGCCTAGTATCAGCAGTAGTGGCCCCCAGACCACTCCTTGGGAGACCCTCTAACTCCCAGCATGGCAGCTTCGGAGCCAGAGCGAGCCCTCCAGTGTGAGGTCCTTTAGTCCGTTATGTGTGGCCCAGCGCCTGTGCTCACGCCTGTCCATGGACTGGCAGTTGTAATTAAGTGGGCAGGCCAGCGGTTTCCCGCCTTTCTACACCTGGTCTTTGTGGCCGGGGACCCACTGCAGCACACCGGGTCCTGCTGGAAACACTTATACCTGTTGATGTTTATGGCGCAGTGGTTGGCAGACAAGCTGTTATTGGCAGAGGTGGTCAGTCGTGAAGCACCCTCCTTCTCTCCCTGGGCCTTCTTGACCTCCCTATAGTCATCTTCGTTGTCACACTGCATGGAAAGAAGCGAAAACCAGTCAGCTTGGACATCAAGGAACACTCAGGAGATCCTGCCACCAACTTGTACAGAACAGAGACTTCAGCTTCTCTGGAGAGCAACTCAGCAATGTGGCTGCAGCACTTGCCCTGCCTGGGTCCTGGCAGCCCCTCCAACAACAGGGATGAGATTTGTGAGCACAACGAGGGACTCGTAAGGGGGAGGAAAAGCAGGACACCAGGACCAAGATGGGGCAAGGACACTGTGATAATGAAAACTGTTCTGCTAAAACAGACCTTCCGTTTGGCCCTCCCAAGTGCCCCTCTTCCAGCTTCACTTGGCAGTACCAGCATCTCTCCCGCTGTATTTCTCGGTATCAGAATCAAGTGGAATGGCCACATGGTCTAGGGATGATGTGCTAAGGGCAGTCAGGAACTTGAACCTTCTTTGGAAATTCATAACTTAGGAATCTCAAGCCAAGGTTTTGAGATTCTCATTATTTCTTAGTTCTCATTAACAATTGCCATCCCAGAACACCTTAGAATCCTCCAAGTACCTATTAATAAAATGGCGCTTTGGATTCTGGCCTCCACGAGTGAACTTAAGCTTAGAGATGCGTGAGGCTGTGATGCAGATGTGCACACAAGGTGCCACTTCTGAAGATAGAGGGGACACGATTATAGCCAGGGCTCTTGGCAGATTTTTCACAAGACCAGCGCTTCCTCTCCCTAAGGAGAGGAAGATTCTGACCTTTTCTCTCTATTTCCAGGTGCTCTTAATGGAACCGTGGCCCCAATGACAGCTCCTCCAGGTGAGGCTTTGCACTCTGGGGACCCAGGTCTCTGCTGCTCCATCACTAGCATCCAGCACCATGGCCTTCGCACCCCAGACGCTGAGTCAAGAGTGCTATAAAAATGTTCTCTCACTTCCCTTGAAAGTGGGTTTAATGATGACTCACTAGAATCATGAGCTCTGGTGTCAGGCTGAGCACAAATGAATGTTCATAAATTAAAGCTTAAAGGTCATGAATAATAAAAGTATCTAAATACAGGACATCATGATAATTACATCTTTCTGTAAGTCTCCATGTGTGTGTCTCTACAGCTATGTGACTGGCTATATATTTAACCAATTTCTATATCTATGAATTTATTATTTGTCTGATTTTTCACTAGCCTATTCGTCAATCCTGAGATAGTCAACTGGTTCATTCAGTCTAACAAAAATCGAACACAGGTGATGAGGAGGGCAGAGTGTGTGGAGGAGAATGGGTTAAGAGTAGGCTGTTGGCACTGCAGAGTTAAACTGTCTGAAGGAGGCAGAGGGAGAAGGAGACGGTGATCTCACTCCTACTCAGGATATAAAGAAATACATGGAAACAGCCAATGCCCAAAGGATGGAAACCACCTTCCTTCTTTACAGCCTCTCTGTGCTCTCCAGGTGGTTGCAGTTCCACACCACGTTTGCAGGTCATGGAGACACTTGAGGGCTGTACCTGGCTTCTGTTCACTGGCTAGCATGGAGGGTGGAGGTGGGGAATGGGCTCAATTCCCACTCGTGAGGGTTTGGGAAGTATAGCAGAGCCTTTCTCCTTCCCAGGCCCGCCCTGTGTCCCTCTCAGTGAATGGCCTTTCTCAATCCCTGCCCACGGAGCATGAGGTCAGTGAGCTGGGCCTTCACTCCCTATGACCTTCCATGGGAATCATTCTGGAACAATGACCTGCATTAAAGTGCACCAAGGACATCAGAACCTGGCCACAACAAAGTTGGAATAAAGACCCATGAATGCTGGATAACCAAGAAGTGCGGGGGCCAGAACCCTAAGACAGTGGGGAGGGTGTCTGCCTGGTCTGCAGCTGACCAGGTTTGACCCCTGCTGCTTTCCTCTGGATGGCCCAAGAAGCGTGGCCAGGAGTGATCCCCGAGGGCCCAGTGAGGGTAAGGAAGGCAGGCTTCCTTATCAGGGCCTTCAAAAAGTCTTCCAGCAGATCTGGCCTCTGCGGTCACTTCTAAGGCGTGACAAGTACCTCTGCAACAATGGCAAGGTGACATATAACCGTCAGAGCGGGGAGAGAGCCAGAGGGCGGCAGGGACTGGGCTCGGTCCCCAGCACTCCATGCGGTCCCCCGAGCGCAGGCAGTTGTGGGCCCTGGACAAAAGCAAATGAAGGACAAGGAACCGTGCCGGCCAGAATCCTGCTTCGGCCTTTCCGCAGGGAGCGTCTCGCCCGGCGCGCACGTGGCACGGCGTTCCCGGGCCAGCCGCGAGCGAGCGTGGCCTGGCCGGCTGGCCAGCTGCCCGTGCCCCGGCGCCCGGCGCGGCCGTACCTTGCGTTTCCTCTTGGACTTGGGCAGCGCCTTGTCGGGCGGCGGGTCCGCGGGGTGGCTGGGGGGCGCGCCGTCGGCGGCGTCCTTGGGCGCGCGGGGCGCCGGGAGGCCCGGCTCGGGGACCCTGGCCAGCAGGCTCAGGTCGATCTTGACCCAGAGGGCGCGGCCCTCCTCGCTGTCCTTGAGCGGGGACAGCAGCTCGTTGCGGCCGAAGGGCACGAGCGTGTAGAACTGCTCCTCGAGCTCGGCCGCGTCGCCCGCCGACCTGGCGCTGATGGAGCCCACGGACGCGCGCGGGGCCGCCTCCCTGGGCCGCGCGTCGGGCGCGGGCGCCTTGGCCAGCGGGCACTCGTCCCGCTCCGACTCGGCGTCCGAGTCGGACGAGGAGGAGGAGGACGACGACGACGACTCGGTCTCGATGAACTCCCTGGACTTGGGCACGCTCCGGCCCAGGCCCCGCGTGCGCCGCTTGTCGCCCGCCCCGGCGGGGCGCGGCTCCTTGCGGTGGCCGCTGCGGCCGCTGCCCGCGCCTGGCCGTGGCCGCGGGGGCTCGTCGGGCTCGTCGGGCCGCGCGCAGGGGGCGCACGGGGGGCCGTCCCCGGGCCCCGCACGCTCGGCGCGCCGAGGGGGCTTCTTGGGCAGCGGCCTGCGCGCGGGGGCGGGCGCGCTCTCGGCGGGCGCCACGGCCACGGCCACGGCCAGGGCGGCGGGCGGCGACTTCTGCCGCCCCGCCTTGCTGCCCGGCGCCTTGCTGGCCGTCCGTGGCCGCTGTTCGTCCCTGCAGGGGCCCTTGGCGGCGGCGGCGTCGGGCACCGGTGGGCACTCTGGCTCCTTGGCGTAGAAGGGCGCGCCCTCGGGCAGCGCATCCCCGGGGACGGGCGCCGGCGGCTTGTGCGGGGTCACCTTGTTCAGCCACTTGTCCAGCTGCCACTTGTTGGAGGACGCCGGTTCGGCCTGAAAGCAGAGTGAGGCGACAGGACATTTTGAGATGATACGGCCCCTGCCCGGCCCCCGGGGTCCCAGCCCTGCAGTGCCTTCGGGAGGAAGAACCCCAGCACACAGCCAGGCGGGACCTCCCTGAGCCAAAATTCAGAAAAAGAAACACGAGATTACACGCTCAGTCAAACATGATGGCCTCTCGGTATCTGTACTGCAAACCACGATGCCCCAAAGTAGAGAGAAAGAGGAAAATTGTCTGCCACAGAGGCAGGGGTTGGGGGGGCTGAAGGGATACTGGGGACACAGGTGGTGGGAAATGTGCACTGGTGGAGGGACTGGGTTTCATCATTGTATGACTGAACTCAAACGCGAGGGTTTGTAACTATCTCAGGGGGATTCAATTAAAAAAAAAAAAAAAGACTACACCGATCCTGATCCACTCTAGGGCTAGGAACACACAAAGGCCAGTGGGTGGGAGCTCTCTGCCGGCATGACGGGTGCCAGGATTGCGGCCCCTTCTGCACCCATGACACTTACGGCTGGCGCAGGGCCTAGAAGCCAATGTGGTTACAAATAGATGAGGTCGGAGGGACAGTCTAGTGGGGAAGGTGCTGGCCTTGCCTGGCCCAAGGGAGTTTCACCCACTGCATCCCAGATGGTCCCTTGGTCCCCAGGAAGCCACTGGCTGGGTTTGGCCCCCAAATGAAATTTCTCACTAAAGGGGTAACACCCGTTTCACGAGCACCTCCATGCCCAAGTGCTTTGGACTGTGTAACACAGCCGGGTTGGTTGCTGCTGCTCACGGCCTCACCACCAAGTCTGCAGACTGGTCCTCAGAGATTCTGGGGGGTGGTTCTCAGGGGGACCAAGTAGTGCCGGACCAAACTGAGTTCTCCAGCCCTTTGAGTGCCCTCCCCAGTCCTTAAAGTGCCACTCGAAATGATCATCGTACAAAGGCACCTGCATGAGGTTCCACCTCAGGAAACTGCGGAAGGGCTGGCAGCGTAAAGGTTTGGGCAGGCACCCGCCACCTGCCACCCATGCAAGAGCCACGCGTGGCCCCAAACAAAGGCAGCAAGACAAAGCTTTACAAAGTCAGTGGGAGAACAGTTCGGAGGCCCTGAGTGACAGAGCACTTTCCCCTTTTCTGTGTGAGTCACAGTGCAGGGGGCTCTGGAGAGGGGACGCAGTGTGAGGGTGTGGCAGGCAGACTGCAAGCGCAATAACACAGCAAGTGTCTCTAAGTGCTCACTCTGCCTTTCCTGTCCTGTGGTCCTTCTGTTGCCACGTGAGCCTCAGGCAGGGATGTGCCAGAATGTCACAGGGCACAGCTTGGGGAATGCATGCACCAGCTGTGAGGCAGGACAGGCTGTGCACCCTGGCTCGACCCTGTGTTCACTGTGCACTGGTGGAGGGATGGGTGTTCAATCATCGTGAAACTCAAACATGAAAGCTTGTAACTGTATCTCACAGTGATTCGATACTAAAAAAAGACTTGAATGTAAGATTTGAAATCATAATAAATAAAATGAGAGAATTGGATGAGACTTTTGGAGAAGACCATTGACACTACACGAAGGCCAGGAACCTTTGTTCTGCCAAGGAACATTTGGATATTGGTAACATCATTCCCAGATCACAAAGTGCAGGGAGACAGGCCCTGGGCAGCTGCTGGGAAGCAAACAGGCTGTCCTGCCATGGGCCTGACCCAGATTCAGGTGCTCCCGCCCTGCTCTAAATTATACCCGATGTTCTCTGTTATCTTCAACTGTATTTTGTATTTTGGGGAGACAGGCCACAGCTGGGACTCAGAGCTGCTCCTGGCTCTATGCTCACTGAAGAACACGCAGTGCTGAGGACCACAGCCTGGCAAGTTGCAAAGAATGCAAGACCCTTAACCCCCGTCCTCTCCCTGGCTCTGCAGTGCTCTGATGATCTGTTACACCTGTGAACATCCTGCGTCTTCTATAAGCTAAATGCTTCTCTCAGGCGGAGGTGCATGGGGTCCCCAGCCCACCTGAATCCGTAACAGTATGGGAGACAGTTTGCTAACAGAACTTTCCCTAACAAAGCAACAAACAAGAGTGATCACTTCAATTGTCTCCTTTCTTCTTCACAGCAACAGATGGGCTGAGGGGTGCCATTCTGGGGGGGGCAGTATGAGGCAGTTGGGACGCCATTCTGGGGTGGGGAGGGTGAGGCAGCTGTGGTCAGGGCAGGTCAAAGAGCAGAGCATTATCTGACAGAGGAAGAGAAGACAGCAGGGCTAGGCCCCTGTGCCTGGGCAGTGCTGGCTGTGGTCCTTCCTGCTCTTGGACCAGCATTCCTGTCCATGTTTGTCTGCTCACTTGCGACTTTACCTTTTCTGTCATAGATCTCCCCCCGACTAATCTTCCCGCATGTATTTGAGCTCCTGCTCCTTCTGCAGAGCTCCTGGCCATGCACTGTTCACAGGGTGCTCAGGGTGTGAAGGGGGCAGGGAGTGAGCATCACAGTGCTGTTCATTTTCATCAACTAAAGCAACTAGTTAATGTGACGTTTCCCACACTGTGCTTTTACTTCAAAGATTGCATAAAGAAGTTTCCCTCGGTCAGATAAGTGTGGGGAACGCCCCAGGGAAACTAGAACGTACGTAAGCAAAATTTAGGACTGGACGGTGCTCTGGACTGAAGAAATGGGTCCAAGCTATTTTATCAAGGCACACCTCAAGGATGTGGCCAGAGGGCTGGAGCGATAGCACAGTGGGTAGGGAGTTTGCCTTGCATGCGGCTGACCTGGGTTCGATTCCCAGCATCCCATATGGTCCCCTGAGCAATTCCAGAAGTAATTTCTGAGTGCATGAGCCAGGAGTAACCCCTGCGCAACGCTGTGTGTTACCCAAAGAGAGAAAAAAAAAAGGATGTGGCCAGACTCTTGTTCCTCACGGCATGCAGGCTTATTACTGTTCACTTATTCCTATAACTGCTCTAGATGCTGCTCTGTGTGTGTGTGAGGGTGAATGGAAGAGCTCTTTCTTCCTGTGTGGCTTGGCACAAAAGACGAGCCACCAGGAAAGAAGGTGAGGTTTGGAGACAATCAGGCCAAGGACAAGAATGCAAGAATGCAACCCTCAGGCCATACGGTGATGGAACTGACATTCACACTGGCTCTTTGGTGAGCCGGCAGATTGGGTGCTGGTCCTGGAACAACTGAGGTAACTGAGCTGCTTCCAATCATCAACACCTTGAAGATAGTTCAGACCAAACTGAGCTGAGCCCAGAGAGCAGGGGAAGGAGGTGGGGACACTGGACCACCCTAAGGAATGCCTTAAAAATCTCTGGTGATGCTGCAGGTAGGCAAGTGTGGGCCATGACATGGTTCTGCCTGCTCCGGGGAAGGTGAGGTGTGTGGCAACGGAGACCCGCATGGCCAGAGGTGCCAGGAAACGGCATCAATGCTCCCCAAGGAGACCGGGCCAGCCCAAGCAAACCAGAGACCCTGCACAGGATAAAGCTACGAGCCATTGCTAAGAGTCTCACCCCAGAACTCAATGAAGGGGATTGTTCAATCTTGAAACAAAATGCAAAATGAAATTTTACTTCTGTTCTGCCAGTGTAGCCCTTCCCAGCGGGGAGAGGGAAGCTGTGGGCTGATGCTTCGAAGGTACTTCTGCATCCCCAAGGGCAAGGAATTGAAAACTCTCCCTGGCCACTGAAACCTGCAGGCTGTCCCCTCTCCTCTGTTAGAGGTTTCTGAGAGTACAGGAAGAAAGAAAGCCATCTACCTTCTCTCAGTTAGCTGGAGTCTTCGTGGTTACATCTGTGACATTTAGAAAGAAACTGCACTTTATAACATGATAACTGCACGTCCCTTCTGGGCATCAGGACACACATGTCCCACAAGAAAATCCAAAAGCCCTCCAGAGGAGAGACCGGCTACATGGAAGTTTTCTTTCCCTCCCTCCCTCGTGTGTGTGTGTGTGTGTGTGTGTGTGTGTGTGTGTCTGTGTGTGTGTGGCGTGGGAAGGTGGTCACATCTGGCTGTACTCAGGCTTACTGCTACTCCTGGCTCTGTACCATATATGGTGTCAGGGACTAAAGCCAGGTCAGCTGCAGGCCAGGGGAGCGCTCTCCTCACTGTGCTGGGGTGGGGATGGGGGAGGGTGTGGTCAGCAGGAGTCTTTGTAGACACCACCTGCTGGCAGGGCAACCATACCAAAACCCTGTTATTTCTCAATATTGCTATTTCTAAGTATTCTTATTCTGTTATTTCTAAATATTCAATGAATTATACCATCAAGCCAGATTTGAAGAAGTCCATTTCACATTTCTATTTTATTTTAAGTCTTCTTTTTCCCCCCAAATAATTCCTGCTAGAATTTCAGTTCTGTAGAAAATGGGAACCTCTTTGGGGAAGAGTCAGAGTTACATTAGCCATGGTTTTAGTCCTTAATGTTGTAAAACCATTTTTACGTAGAGAAATAGTCAGAGACAGATGGGGGCAGGAGTGCGTCCCGTGGTAAGAAGAGACAGACAGGAGAGCCAGCTAATTGTGACAGGAACAGAGAGTCCCTGCTACAGAGCAGATAAGAGCTGAAGGGGAATGAGGGTGGTGGGGGCAAGAAGACTTCCCTGCATTCCCCTGTGCTCAGGAGGGGACCCTGGAAGGAGGGCCTAGGGGACGCCTAGAGCAGAGGCCAGAGCTGATGGCTTCAGGTGTGCGTGGGACCAGTGGCCTGTCTCACCCCCCTGCTTCAGGTGCAGAAAGGGGTGGTTTCAAGGAACTATTTGGAAATTTGGGTGCTGCTTCACCAGAGGGTTGAAGATAAAAAATTACTCGGGGGGGGGGGGGGCTTGTAAGAGGGCTGGGTGGGACCCGGGAGTGTGAGAGCTGGCACCTCAATGTTCCCCTCAGCACCACTGGGTGAGATCTCCTGACCAAAAATTAAATCCTACAAACCAGGGTGATGCCAAACTTTTGTGGACTTACGAGGAAGCTTTGTATCTGATTCATTTTCTTTTTGTTTGTTTGTTTGGTTTTGGGGCCACACCTGCTGGTGCTCAGGGATTACTCCTGGCTCCACATTCAGGAATCACTCCTGATGGGACTTAAGGGGCCATATGAGATGCCGGGGATCGAACCCAGGTTGGCTGCATGCAAGGCAAGTGCCCTCCCTGCCAGACTATCACCGCAGACCCACATTAATGAAATTTTTGTTTTGGGGTCACACTGATTATACTCAGGGCAATTCCTGGCTCTGCACTCAGAGTTTATTCCTGGTGGGTTCAAGGGACCATCCGGGGCTTTGGGGGGATGTAGAACCTGGGTGAGCTGTGTGCAAGATAAGCACCTGACAGGCTGGACTATCTGTCCCCACCCCCAGCTCTATTTCATTCTCTCCTTACAAATCAAAGTGTACATGTTCTGATCCACAGATTTGAGAAGTTTGCTCTCAGCCCTCTCCCAAGAGTCCTCATGCTCTGAATTACTATTTAATTTTCTCCTTTAAAGCAGAAATTGCAATGGTTTTTATTGGTAAGTTATAACATTTTTATATGAGACAACTAAATCTTTTCCATGGATACTCATCAGAATTACAAAAGGTTTCATTATTATTTGTAGGTTGATGCTAATTTTTCTTTCTCTTTGCACAAAGATAAACAGTGAAGGGTGTTTTATTAATGTTGAGAGCCCTTGGTCCTCTGAGCTGTGACAAACTCAGAGGTAGGCATCCAGTCTGTCTCACCCCTTAAGCTTCTGTCCATGTGGTAGCCACATGTCTCAGTCATCAGCTGCCTGTCTGGTTGGTACCTGGGCCGCCCCTTTGGGATGTCTGACCCAGAGGTCATTCCCAGTCAGGGAAGTTTTGCCTCATGGAATCTTCTGGAGGTCAAGATAGAGGATCCGAGCACTTGTGTCACCCACATCTCGCATCTTTATACTGGGACTGTCTCTGTCTTTGGAGGAGCCCACATTCTTGAACATGTTATTCTCTCTCCCTTTCTCTCCCTTTCCCCTTCCTCAAAGCCTCCAAATAAAATCTGTTTAGACCTCACTGCTGGTCTACTCCTGATAATCTTCCCTGCAAGAAGAACAGAGACCTGTGAAACCTGGGGAAGGCCTAGGACTAGCTTTCTTTTCCTGCAAAAAGTAATTTCTCGCTTCACCCTGAGTCCAGGGCTCCCCAAGAAATCGCGTGGTGGGGATTAGCCCCCGTGCCAAGAAGCAAAGCAGGTTAAGTGGGCGTCAGGTGTGGCTTGACGGCCACCTGGTGGGGCTAGCCACGCCCTGGCCCGTGCCACACAGGGGCTCATGGCAGACGTTATCAGTCCTGGTCTTCCCACTGGTCCTGGGGGGCAGACATGGCTTGGGAGAAAGTGCTCATTTCTTTCCTCTCCGCCTCACACAAGCCTCCTGTGGGGACCCACCAACTTCAGTTACTCTATGTCCTTGGGTGGGGGTTGGCGTCTCTCCCCACAGTGCTCAGGGCCTGGGGCCACTCCACTAACTCTTGGTCAAGCAGCCCTGGGGTTCAGTGCAAAAGCCCAAGAATGTGGAGTGATAGCACAGTGGTAGGGCGTTTGCCTTATAAGCGGCCAAAAGGCCGACCCGAGTTCGATTCCTCCACCCCTCTCGGAGAGCCCGGCAAGCTACCGAGAGTATCTCGCCCGCACTGCAGAGCCTGGCAAGCTACCCGTGACGTATTCGATATGCCAAACACAGTAACAACAAATCTCATGATGGAGACGTTATTGGGCCCGCTCGAGCAAATCGATGAACAACGGGAGGACTGTGACCGTGACCGTGTGGTGCTTAGGGCCCCAGGGCCACACGGTGGCGTTGGGGGACTGTGGTGTGAGAACCAAGCTGGGGCCAGCCAATGTATCCCTGAGTTGCCTGGCCTTGAGTGCCTGCATTGCCAAGGAAACCCATCCTTAGCAGCAGCGTGAGGAGGCCCCACCATGGAGACCATGAGGGCAGAGCGTGGCCAGAGACGTTGCCAAGGTGGTGGCTTGAGGTTGTGGAGGCCAGAGGGAGGAGGGTTTCACCTCAGGGCTGGCACGGCAGGGCTGGAGGGAGGGTCTCCCCTCAGGCTGAAGCAGGGGGGCGGAGGGAGGGAGGGTCTGGAGTAGGGGGTTGGAGGGAGGGTCTCACCTCGGGGCTGGAGTAGTGGGGCGGCTTGCTGCCCTCACTCTCGCTGGAGCTGCTCTCTGTCTCCGAGTCGGACCCAGAGCTGCTCTCCGAGTCACTGGATGAGCTGCTGCCGCTGGAGCTGCTGCCGCTGGAGCTGCGCTGGCTGGAAGGCACAGAGGCTTGACACGCTGCCGGCGGGCCCACGGCGCTGCCATGGCAAGGCGGGAAGGAGAGAGAAGGAAGGCGAGTGAGGCGCCAGGAACACACACCCAGGGGACTCCCGTACACCTGTCACCCCAAACTCAGGCTCTCAGCACAGCAGAGAATCCTCAGGATCCGGGAGTGACACGCCAAAAGCCCACGCCCGAGAAGGCCCCAGTTGGCCGTGTGCTGGGCTCAGACGGGGCTGGCCTCGCTTCGGGACAGCTCTCTCTATTTTGCAGCTGCGCAAATTTCCTACCAAATTGCAAGTGAATCCAAAAATTCTTCAAGAATTTTAGAAAGAATAAGCTTTGTTTGTCTTCTTTATCTTACTGAGGGAGGCCGCTGGGAGGAAGGGCACAGTGTTTCACATAGTGCCTTCCGGAAGGTTCCGAAGACCAGCGGGCTTGGCCAGAGTCACAACCCGATTCCCAGCTCTCTGCACCCCAAGTGAGGCCCCACCACCCTCGGCAGGCCCCACACATGAGCTGTCTGTGAACAACGTGAGAGACACAATTTTTGCGTTTTATGTATTACAGGCTTTAAAACTCTACCATGGGGCAGAGGTTAATAGCAGGTCCAATTAATACTCAATCCTCAGATTACATTTTGAAATTTGCCAGAAAGTCATTAAAGATGCGATAGACAAGAAAAAAACGGTGCTTTCTAGTAGTAATTGATTTGCCACAAAAATTCAAAGAGCTGACATCCACCCAGTGTCTGAGCCAAAAGGAACTTCCACTACTTATACAATATTCCACATCTTCAACGTCCTCCACTAATTTGATTGAAACACACCTGATCATGTCTTTTTGGGGTCAAATGTTAAATCAAAAAATTTAGCGATCACTTTTTTTGGAGTCGGGAGAAGCAGAGTGGGGGTAACTGGACACAGCAGTGCTCAGGGGCTATTTGGGCTCAGTGCTCAGGAGTAACCCCTGTTGGTGCTCTGGAAAACTAGGGAGCGTTGGGCATTCAAGTTGGATCAGATCGGCAGAATTCAAGGCAAGTGCCTTAGTGCCAGGCAGGGATCATTCTTCTTTGGGGGGAGGGTGTCACACCTGGTGGTGCTCAGGGCTTACTACAGGCTCTGCTCTCAGTGATCACTCCTGGCGGTACCTGGGATCCATATGGATGACAGGGATTGAACCTGGTTGGCAGTATGCAAGGCAACACACTACACTATGGCTCAGGTCCCAAAGGATAATTGTATTTTTCCCTGCACGTACTTAATTTTTTGAATCACAGTGATCACAGTGATATACAGTTACAAAGTTATTTCTGACTGGGTTTCAGCCATATAATGTCCCAACAGCCATCCTATCACCAGTGTACTTGTATCACTACCAATGGTCCCGGTTCCCTCCCTCCACCTGCCTGCCACTATGGCAAGCTCTCTCTCTCTCTCTCTCTCTCTCTCTCTCTCTCTCTCTCTCTTTCACCCTCTCCCTCTCTTTCTCTCCCTTTGGGTCTTATGGTTTGCAACACAGATAATGAAAAGCTATCAGGTACATCCCTTTACCTACTTTCAACACTGAGTTACCGTAAGCATCACTTTTCAATGTTGAGTCTGCAAGTGCCTGTCGCCCCTTCAGTTGTGGACACTTGCTCTTAGACACTGAACTGGGAAGGCCAGGGCTGGCACAGTCACCAGAGTTTAAGTGCAAAGTGGTTTGAACAAGGTAAAGGACTTTTCTGCTCACCTTTTAAATATTTTTTACACATGCTTTGCCTAAGACAGAGCCTCATATATCCTTGCATGGGGTGCTGGAGAGGAATGAATGTTCTTGGAGCCTTGCTCCTTCTAGAACAGCTACAAGAAACTATCTGGCAAGATGCATCTGGAAGGGAGAGCCACTCTGGGTCATGAGGCTGCAGGGGAACGGTGTGAGCAGCTCTCTCCTGAGGGGGTCTCTCTCCACAGTGGCGCAGCCCATAGCTGCCCTGACACTGTGCCTCAGCAGCCTGGCCGCCACCCGCACAGGCCTGGGGGAGCTACGGGGTTTCTTCCTTCCTATTCCTATCTGGTGTTAAGTGCAGAGCCCAGCTCCTCAGACAGAGGTGGGAGGGATTGAAGGGGCCTACAGGCCGAGGACTTTTCCCTCCTTAGCACTGTAGCACTGTCCTCCCGTTGTTCATTGATTTGCTTGAGCAGGCACCAGTAATGCCTCCACTGTGAGACTTGTTACTGTTTTTGGCATATCGAATATGTCATGCGGAGCTTGCCAGGCTTTGCCGTGTGCTTAGGATACTCTTGGTAGCTTGCCGGGCTCTCCGAGAGGGACAGAGGAATCAAACCTGGGTCAGCCGCATGCAAGGCAAACGCCCTACCCACTGTGCTGTCGTTCCACCCCTTATGAACTAAAATCCATCTTCCTGTTGGCTGAGTCAAGATTATTGATAGAGGAAAAGCATTTTATGGTGAAATATGAGAACATTTGGAATTCACATGAATTGTCGGTTAGTAGGTCCACCAGTCAATGGGGGAAAAGCCACATAAAAAGCCCTTCGCCACCCTAAACACAGGCCACAGTATGTCTCCATCTTTTTATTCCTTTTTTGGGGGGTCCGATGCCCAGGGGTTACTCTGGTCCTGCACTCAGTGCTCGGGGGATCATATGGGATGCTGGGGATTGAACATGGGTCCACTGCGTGCAAGGCAAATGCCCTACCCACTGTGCTATCACTCCAGCCCCACATGCCACAGTCTGGAATGACATCTGCAGTAAGATGAGCCAAGTGCACTGGGACTGGATTTTGGTGATGGGTGAAGCTTTGCCCAGCAGGCAGCTCCTCTCCCCTCTTGAGTTCAGAGCAGGTGAAGCTGCAGAGGCAGCAGTGCAGGAAGGGCCTTGCCACAGAGCCACTCTCCTTTGAAAAAAAGTTCCTTAACTTTCTGGGGCAAAGCCCGTCCAGTTAGCATGTAGCCTGCCCTCTGTGACTGGCAGAGTGATGGGCCAGGGGGAGATGAGTCTCAACTTGGGTTCTGATTGGCAGCTAAGCCTCCAGCTTATGTTCCCCTCCCCCAAATCAGGACCTTCACCTCCAGTGACAGTTTTATGTGTCTAAAACCACCAAGAGAGACAAGGATTTTAGGTATTTCTTCATGCTTTGCTACTGAATGCCTCTTGTTTCAATGACTTGCCCAGAGAAAACGACCCCAGAAACTCTCCATGTTGAGGATGGGGACCAGCCTGTCTGCAGGAGCTCCGTGGCTCCGCTGCAATGAGTTCTGTTGGTGTGTGTTCTCAGGGTCAGCTTCCGGCTAAGGACTCAGCCCAATGCAGATGCAGTCTCTGTGGGGACAGCAGCCTCCAGAAGCTGGTGACGACTGCCACCAAAGACCCCAGGGATAAAAGGGGCAGCTCAGTTCACCCAGGAGGACGTTCTGAGCACACAGATCCCTGGCAGGAAAGGAGGCATCTGAGAGACAACCTTGAAAGAAGGCCTCACCTGCTTAAAATGTAAATGGGGGCTGGGGGCTGGAGAGATAGTCCAGCGGGTGGGGTACTTGCCTTGCATGCGGCTGATCAGGGTTAGATCCCTGGCTCCCCACATGGTCCCCTAAGTCCCACCAGGAGTGATTCCCTGAGTGCAGAGCCAGGAGCAAACCCTGAGTACTTTCAGGTGTGCCCCACCCCCAAACAAACAGAAAGAATAAATAAAACTAACAAAATTGCAAACAGAGGGTTTTAGTGTGCCAAAGTGGTGTCATGTTACCATATCAAAGGGATCTAAGAAACTAACTTAAAAAATTTAACTTCTTTCCTGAAATGACAAAATGAACTGGTTTACACGGTGACATCTCTGGACAATTTTTAGCAGAGTTCAGACTCTCCCTTTACATTATTTCAGGAACACAGTTCCACTGAGTCTTTAGATGAGAATACATTTCTAAGATCATGAAATAAGTCTTTTTTTGTCATCAAACTTAACCAAGTGCCTGGTGTGTTCATATGTGATTGCTGAATGAAAATATAAAATCGATTACAGGGTTGTCGGAGAATTAAAACTTATCATTGCCAATAAAAATTTTGGATGTGCTCCTTATATTTCCAATTTCAATACTTCTTCCTCTCAGAGAATATTTCTTTTTTTTTTTTTTTTTTTTAGGAATTTTGAGATTTTTTCATTTGAAGTTAAATCTTAATGCTATTAAATTCACAAATATGCTAATTTATATACCCAATTCTATTTATCTAAAACACACATTGCAAACATACAAATATCTATTCTCTCCACATGTCAGCGCCCATTCATTTCATGGTTTGGAAATGGGAGAATAGATTCCCCTTAAACTGCAAGTCAGCAGGTGTTTCTTTACAGTTAACTTTAGCAAAATTCATACAAAATAGTAATTAACAATGATCTTCTTTACTTGTTAACTTACAAGGAAACACCTCCAAAACTGCATTTTGTTAAAGTTTCTGTACTAAAATGTAGAAAAACTGAACTACACAAATATTGAAAAGTTAAAAATTCCTTAATTTTTTATTCCTGGTACCACTACCACAATTTACAGGGCAATATACCTGATGTAATGAAAAGAAAAAGAAAAAGACAAAGCTACAACAGATAAAAGACCTCAGGAATGTACATCTAATTGACACTACATTGCATTAATCAATAGCTGCACTTTTGCAAACTGTGGCTATGACAGTCCTGAACAAGAAGGGTTTCCTGTTTAAGCTGCAGTAACTTTTCTGACTATGGATCATCGCTCCTTCTGTGGCAGATTTTTACAGTTCCTCTAATGGATTTGGGACGACTGTCTCAAAGTAACCTGCAGCTTTCCTGACAACTCCTCGCTCTCTCTCCTGCTAAGAACTGTAGCCCTTTTCTGCTGAGTTTTTAGAACCTTCTGCTACCATAGCCACCACTTCCACCACCAGATCCGTAACCACCACCATAGGGACTGCCCGAGCTTCTTCCACCAAAACTGCCCCCTTTCATGGGTCCATAATTTGATTGCTGTTGTCCACTATAATTTCCAAAATCATTATAGTTCCCACCACCACCATAGTTACCACCGCCAAAATTTCCTCCTTCATTGTAACCATCATATCCTCCACCACCTCCACCATATCCACCACCTTGGTTTCCATATCCTGGTCCTCCACCACCATAGCCTCCTCTACTACTATAACCAGGACCTCCGCCGTAGTTGCCACCATCACCTCCAAATCCATTATATCCACCATCACCTCCTCCATAACTACCTCTGCTGCCACCACCGCCACCACCATAACCCCCTCTCCCACCAAAGTTTCCACCACGGCCAAAGTTTCCTCCACCACCTCCAAAATTGCCTCCACGGCCCATAAAGTTGCCAGATCCACCTCCACGACCTCTTTGCGATCCAGCAGACTGCATTTCTTGTTTAGAAAGGGCCTTTTTCATTTCACAATTATGCCCATTAATAGTGTGGTATTTCTGAACAACAATTTTATCAACTGTATCATGATCATCAAAAGTCACAAAAGCAAATCCTCTCTTTTTCCCACTCTGCCTGTCTTCCATTACTTCTATGGTTTCAATTTTGCCATACTTTTCAAAGTAGTCTCTCAAATTATATTCCTCTGTGTCTTCTTTAATACCACCAACAAAAATTTTCTTCACTGTTAAATGGGCACCAGGCTTCACAGAATCCTCTCTAGAAACAGCTCTCTTTGGTTCCACTACACGCCCATCAACCTTATGTGGTCGAGCACACATAGCTGCATCCACCTCTTCAACACATGAGTAAGTCACAAAACCAAAGCCTCTGGAACGTTTTGTTTGGGGGTCTCTCATCACCACACAATCTGTAAGTGTGCCCCATTTCTCAAAATGTTCTCTTAAACTATCATCTGTAGTTTCAAAGCTCAAACCTCCAATAAACAGTTTTCTCAACTGCTCTGGTTCCTTTGGATCATGGCCCTCCTCCCCCCGGCGGCGGCGGCGACGGCCGGAGTCGGGCTGGGGGCGACCGGGCGGCGGTTTTACCTCCATTTTGAGCTCAGAGAATATTTCTTTAAACAGACTCTAAAAGTTCTCTGCTATCAGGTAAGCATAGTACCCTCTTGGTGTTTGGGTTTACTTCCTGTCTTTTGATGTCAGGAAATGTTTTGCTGGTTTTATAGCCAGCAAAGACACCTTTGGAGAGTCCAGCTTTATCCCAAATGATGCACGCATGCCCCTGCCTTCGGCTGCAGGAACACATTTCTTTCTGAATTGGAATGGGGTAAGTCTGGACATAGATGGTAAGAGAAAAGATCTGGAATCAAAATGAAAGATCCTGGATCTCAGAGGCAAGGCTGTTCTGCCGCTCTGCAGGACACAAGGTCCAGGGGAGTACACGAAGTGCCTGAAAGCCTTTAACTGAGCAGATGACAGGCTGGGGGAACTGTGTCATGTTCAGGGTCTGCCACCCACGTCACTTCCTTGGTTGGAACTAATAGAATGGCGACACGTTAAGAAGCAGCTCCAGCTCCTTCTTTTTCAAGCCCTCTATATGAACTCAGCAAAAGTTCGATTTCCAAGTTACAATCAGTGCCTGGCAGTCGCATTCCGATACTGATAGCATCTTACTGATATTCACTGATCTTACACTACAACCGCATTCTAGAAACAGAAAATGGTTACAGAAGGTTTACTATTTCTGAGATTGGCTTCTACCTCCCACAACAAAAACAAAGCTATAACACAAAACCATGAGGATTATTGGTTCACTGTGATTTTTCTGTTTGTTCTGCAATGTATCTTGGAAAGATTATCCTATTAAACAGGGCATTGGAAGCCCTTCATGGCCTGACCTCGAGTCACCTCCTGAGTTCACCCATTGGCCCTGGTCACAACACATTTCTCATCATTCTGACATCCTGTGTCTGGACTGAGCGAGGTTCCTTTGTTCCCTAGCTTCTGTGCAGAGTTCCTTCTTTCCCTCTTCAGATTCTATCCTATGATTTAGGTCAGAGTTGCAATATTACCTAGATGCTCTGAAGTTTTATGCTTGTGTCCCCAGAGTTAGCAGAGATCCCCAAATAGATTTGTAAAAATAGCGATTGAGTGTATAAAAGAGAAATAAGTGAATAAAAGAGAAATGATGTTTGGTTCAGGGTAGAAGACAATGTACTTTGTAGTACATTATATAGACACTACATAGACAATATAGACACTTTATAGACACTATATAGACAACTATATAGACAAATGAGAGCCTGTTGGGCAAGTAGCATATATGAGTGAGGTGTCCGGTATAAGGAAAGCTAAATATGCAGCGATTGATGAATGACCAGGGAAAGGGGCTGGGGCGGGGTGGGGGGGGGAACGACTGGAGAATCTTCAGTGCTCTCAGGCTGTTTCTCTACACTTCTTCATGTGGCAAGAAGAGTCCTAAATCTTTATGTTTATACAAAATATTCAAACTTTACTATTTTTTACTGTATCTTGTTTTTCCTTTCCAGTACCGGGGATTGAGTCCTTAGCCCCACATTCAAAGGCTGGAACTTGCCATGGAGTCAGCCTCAGGACCCGGCTGGATCTCCTGATCTTAAATGCCAGTGACTAACTTGAAGTTTTATCAATGAGAAGTTTCACTGCATTGGAGTAATGAAACTTTTTAGGTCAGATGAGATCTGCAGAGCAGAAGTTTAATACAACAGGTCTACATCCATTGTATACCATCAACATTTCAGACGGTTGCATTATAAAGAGGGGCAGAGAGAGTGCAGTGCCGACCGATCCTGGGTTGATTCTTGGCACTGCGTATGGTTCCCTGAGCCCTGCCAGGAGTGAACCCTGAGCACAGAGACAGGAGTAATACCCGAGTCCTGCTAATTGTGGCCTATCAACCACCCCCACTCCTAAAACAGAAAGAGTGACGGGCACAAATAAAGCATAAGAAGGATTTTACCTTTGGATAAGGATCAGAAATGTTTACAATATTTATCACAGAATTTATTACAATATTTACCACAGTATTTCTTTGCAACAGGAAGTATCTATAAACAAAGAGCTAGCAGTAGAGGGCTGAATAATGATACTCCCTTATGAAGGATTCCTCAGAATTCTCTAATCATTACAGACATATTAAAATTCTGTAACCATTACAGACATATTAGAACCGAATGCTCACTGTCAATTCTGTCTCTAAAACTTGCAGTGAAAACTTTTTATGGATATAAGTAATGAGGAAATGGCCTCAAGGTGCCAGTTCTCTGTGCTCCAAGAAACTTTTTGAGAATACCAAAGTGTTGACACTGCCTTTTCCCTGGGAGAGGATGGGGATTTGCTGACAGGGTTTTTCTTAAGGATCAGAGAAGCCGGGGCTGGAGTGATAGCACAGTGGGTAGGGCGTTTGTCTTGCATGCAGCCGACCCGGGTTTGATTCCCAGCATCCCATATGCTCCCCTGAGAACTGGCAGGGATAATTCACTGTGCATCACAGGGTGTGACCCAAAAAGAAAAAAAAAAGAATCAGAGAAGCCTACCCAGATATTATGTGGGATCTCCACACAGTGCTGGGGACCACTGGGCCTGTCCCTAGGGGCACTCAGTAGCCCAGGCAGTGCCAGAGATGAAGCCCAGAACCCTGCTTCTACCAGCCATGTGCTCCAGCCCTATTTGCTGTTTCCCTGGCCATTGTGTGTAGGGCTAGTAAAGCCTCTTGGCTAGCTATGTAGCCCTGAGCACAAATGGGCTGAGGAGTTGGGGCTGAAGAGAAATTACAGGGGTGAAGCCACTTGTCCTGCATGCAGCCAACTCTGGGTCAGTCCCCAGTACCACTGGTGGTTGCCTGAGCACAGTGAGGAGAGCTGTCGTGTGCATTTCCAGGGGTGGCCCCACAAAAGGAAAAGACCGAAGTACGGACCCTGTCAGAACCCAGGGCACTGGGGTCTGAGCCAGGGCCAGTGCATGGGTTCCCGCCCCATGCCAACACCTTTGCCTCTGCCATGCATATGTATCATTTGTCAAATAAAAGGAGGATCTATATAATCAAATTTAATTGACATGGATGGTCTGTCTCTGGCAGTCTTTTGGCTACAAAATAAGATGATCACGATTCCTTGAAACACACACACACACACACACACACACACACACACACACACATATGCCCATGCCTACATACACATATACACATACTTATACACAGATTTTCACACATATTTGAAGGATATCTATTGGCCCCTCGAACATCAGGGGTTGGGTCCACTCACAAGCAGGGATTTTTTCTCTTCTTGGTTCCACATTCACAAATAAATCAATTCCGATGTCAGTTGGTTGAATCCATGGGTGCAGGACCCACAGATGGAGGGGACCAATTTAAGGGACTGACCTCCCATTGGTTTTTTTTTTGTGTGTGTGTGTGGGAGGGGGGTGTCCTGAAACCAATTCACCATGTATCCTAAAGGATGACGGAGATACATTTTTAGGGAAAGAAAAATTCCTATCTGCAATTTTTTAGTGTGCCTAACCCCATCTTATTTTTTTTTAATTTTTAAATTTTTAAAATTTCTATTAGTGAAACACCATGAGGTACAGTTGTAGACACATACATTTTTGTGCTTGGGTTTCAGTTATACAATGATCGAGTACCCATCCCTCCACCAGTGCCCATTCTCCACCACCACCACTGATCCCAGTATCCTTCTAACCCCCCATACCCCCTCCCACCCTGTCTCTTTCGCTGGGCATTCCCTTTTGTTCTCTCTCTCTCCTTTTGGGTGCTATGGTTTGCAAAAGAGGCATTGAGTGGCAATCATTTTCAGTCTAAAGCCCATTTTATTTTTTTAATTTGAAATTCATTATTATTATTATTTTAAAATTTTTATTAGTGAAACACCACATGAGGTACCGTTGTAGACTTACAAATTTTTGTGCTTGGGTTTCAGTTATACAATGATCGAGTGCCCATCCCTCCACCAGTGCCCATTTTCCACCACCACTGATCCCAGTATCCCTCCCACCCCCCCATCCCCCCATCCCACCCTGCCTCTGTGCAGGGCATTTCCTTTTGTTCTCACTCTCCTTTTGGGTGCTAACCCCACCTTATTTAAGGATCAACAGTAAGCTCAGTGTTTACTGTAGATATGTTGGATGGTAGAATTTTTTTTTTTTTCCCTCCCGTTGATCGTCGATTTGCTCGAGCCGGCCCAGTAACGTCTCCATTGGAGACTTTGTTGTTACTGTGTCTGGCATATCGAATACTCTCGGTAGCTTGCCGGGCTCTCCGATGGTAGAATTAGGAGGAGTTAAACATATTTTTTTGTTATTAAAAACCATTGAATCACTGTGAGATACAGAGTTACAAAGCTGTTCATGATTGCGTTTCAGTTGCATAATGTTTGAGTACCCTCTCTTTTTAGGGGCTGGAGTGATATACAATGAGTAGGGCACTTGCCTTGCATGCAGCAGACACGGGTTCGATCCCAGCACCCCCTGTGGTCCCTGAGATTTCAAGGAGTGATCCCTGGCACAGAGCCAGGAGTCAGCCCTAACCACCACCTCTGTCCCCCACAAATACATTAAAAAAATGTTCTGTAGTTGAGGTATTGTGTTTCCAATGGTGTTGGCATTTGTGTCATAAATGTCATAATGATGTACAGTTACTTCACCCCACCACCACCCTAGTACCCAGGACTCCACATCTATGCCCCCGTGTGCCCCCAGTCAACCCACTGCCCCCAAATTCGGTGTTCTTAGCTGGCACTCCAGTACCCAAAGGGTGTATTTTAAACTTTCCTGTACTTTGCAATTCTTTATATATTTATACTATATCTTTAAGCCTACTTGTGGAAGGTGATTCTATTAAAGTAGTTAAAAATTTACTTTGTATGTGTTTTCTTTAGAAGTTTGGGAGATGTTAGGTGAGCTCAACATTTAAATGGACATATTTTGGGGAGATTTTTGGCAGGTTTTGTACCATGGTGACACTGCTCACAATAATAAGTGGTACAATATTCTACCTTTTCATAGTTTAATAGAAAAGTTTAAGTAGTAGGCAGATA